CTCAATCTCAGGGATATGTTCGGACATCAGTCTAAGGCTGCTAGGCAAGAGGCTTTGAGTGCTCTGATGAGTATGCGCATGGCAGAGGGCACACCCGTAAGGGAGCACGCCCTCAGGATTATGGCGCAGCTCAATGAGCTTGAGGTTTTGGGAGGTTATATTGACGGGGAAACCCAGGTTGATATTATGCTCCAATCTCTGCCGAAGAGCTTTGATCAGTTCCGGTTGAACCACAACATGCACAAGATGCATATGGCTCTTCCAGAACTGCTTGCAGAGCTCCAGTCAGCGGAGGCCTTATTCACTCAAGCACCTCAGGTGCTAGTCGCCGAGCAGGCTGGACCTTCCAGGCCTCACAAGGGCAGGAAGAGAAAGAAGTCTGCAGGAAAGGCAAAAGCACAAGATGCTCCGGTTTACCCACGACCGACCCCTCAGGCTGTGGCAAAGAAACTGAAAGGAAGATGCCACGAATGCAATAAGTCAGGACACTGGAAGGTCGACTGCCCTCTCCTCAAGAAAGGTAACTCTCTCGTTAATGTCGTAGAAACATGTTTAGCGGTTGTATCTACCAGAACCTGGTGTGTAGATACTGGAGCCACTGATCATGTCTGCAATTCTTTGCAGGGTTCCAGGAAACCAAGCGACTTAGGGAGGGAGAGATCACCGTCTACATGGGCAATGCTACGAAAGTGGCGGCTGTTGCAGTGGGAGATGTTACTTTATCATTTGATAGTAGTAGTTTGGTTTTGAGAAATTGCCTTTATGTTCCTAGCTTTAGAAAGAACCTTGTTTCAGTTTCTAAACCCGTTATGGATGGTTTTTCATTTTCGTTTGATGACATGGTTATTATTCGTTTTGAAAATCGTTTCATATGTTGTGGTTCATTAGTTGACAATTTATATGTTCTCAAACCGAACCCTCCCACAGTGCAACATAATGAATTGAATAATGTCATAACTACATCTAATAAGAGGAAGGAGTCTTCGCAGATGAATCAAGCTTATCTGTGGCACCTTAGACTTGGGCACATCAACCTTAGGAGGATTCAAAAGTTAGTGGCCAGTGGACATCTCGGTCCATTGGAAGAGCACTATCCAACTTGCGAATCATGCCTGGAAGGTAAGATGGCCAAGAGGCCGTTTACGGCAAAGGGGTATAAGAGCCAAGAAGTGCTAGGACTGATTCATTCTGATTTGTGTGGTCCTATGTCGATCCAGGCTAGAGGAGCTTTCGAGTACTATGTGTCTTTTAGAGATGATTACTCGAGATATGGGTACGTTTATCTGTTGCACCGCAAGTCCGAATGCTTTGAGAAATTCAAGGAGTATCGGGCAGTTGTGGAGAAGCTTCATGGTAAATGTATCAAGTCATTTCGTTCTGATCAAGGTGGCGAATACCTTTTTGGAGAGTTCAGGACATACTTATCGGAAGCTGGGATTGAATCCCAACTGACTGCACCCGGCACGCCCCAGCAGAATGGGGTTGCAGAGCGAAGAAATAGGACTCTTATGGAGATGGTTAGGTCTATGATGAGTTATTCGAGGTTACCAGATTCGTTCTGGGGTTTGGCATTGGAAACGGCATCGTATATTCTAAACATGGTTCCGTCGAAGTCAGTTGACACTACCCCTTATGTGATGTGGAAAGGGCGCAAGCCCAGTTTCTCACAGTTTTGAGTTTGGGGTAGTCCTGCACACGTGTTAGTGCAGGAACCTGGCAAGTTGGAGAAACGTTCGGAAGCACGAGTTTTCGTAGGCCATCCCAAGGGAACGAAAGGTGGATTATTTTATAGTCCTGAGGATCAGAAGGTGATCGTTTCGACGAACGCTAGATTCTTGGTAGAAGACTATATTATGAATCATAAGCCCGCGAGTAGACTAGTCTTAGAGGAGTTAAGGGGTGAAATCGATGGTTCCCTACCGAGTGCGCAAGTAGATACATCACATAATACTGCAACACGACACACTGAGAGTGTACCAGTGCAGACAGTGCCTCGTCGCAGTGGGAGGGTTTCTTATTTACCCGATCGATGGATAGGTCTTGGAGAGTCATCAGACTCAGTTCCAGGAGGCCTAGAATCGGACCCAAGAACTTACGATGAGGCACTCCAAGATAAAGATGCAGATTCATGGAATGTTGCAATGGAAGCTGAAATGGGGTCAATGGACTCCAATCAGGTCTGGGATCTTGTAGAACCACCCGATGGGGTACGACCCATTGGATGTAAGTGGATCTATAAGAGAAAGAGAGGATTGGATGGGAAGGTGCAAACCTTTAAAGCTAGGCTTGTTGCGAAAGGTTATACCCATATCGAGGGTATTGATTATGATGAAACCTTTTCGCCAGTAGCTATGCTTAAGTCCATTCGGATTCTCTTGGCTGTAGCCGCTCATATGGACTATGAGGTCTGGCAGATGGATGTCAAGACAGCTTTCCTTAATGGGAACCTGCAGGAAGACATCTATATGCAGCAACTAGAGGGATTCATTGCTGAAGGTCGTGAGCATCTAGTGTGTAAGCTTAATCGGTCTATTTATGGACTGAAGCAAGCTTCAAGATCATGGAACATCCGTTTTGATGAGGTGATCCAGTCGTACGGGTTCACTCAATGTCCGGATGAGCACTGTGTTTACAAGAAAATCAGTGGGAGCGTGGTGGTGTTTCTTGTGCTTTACGTAGATGACATACTGCTTATTGGAAACAGTAAGAATGAGTTATCAGACGTAAAGGTGTGGTTGTCTAAGCAGTTTGATATGAAGGACTTAGGTGAAGCAGGACACATTCTTGGTATTAGGCTCATTAGAGATCGTAAGAAGAGAATGTTGTGCTTATCCCAGTCTTCATACATAGATACTGTCTTGGCCAGATTTAGCATGCAGGATTCCAAGAAAGGTATGTTACCTTTCAGACATGGAATACCTCTATCTAAGGAGATGTCTCCTAAGACGTCTAAGGAGATAGAGGAGATGAAGACAGTTCCTTATGCTTTGGCAGTAGGAAGTCTCATGTATGCAATGCTATGCACAAGGCCGAATATTAGCTACACCGTTGGCATGGTAGCTAGATATCAAAGTAATCCAGGACGGGAACATTGGTCTGCGGTGAAGCATATACTCAAGTACCTGAGAAGGACTAAGGAGTACATGTTAGTTTACCGTGCAGGCAGCTTGTTACCTCAGGGTTACAGTGATTCCGATTTTCAGTCAGATAGGGATGAAAGTAAGTCAACCTCAAGTTATGTGTTTACCTTGGAAAGTGGAGCCATTTCATGGAGGAGTGCTAAGCAGAAATGCGTGGCAGACTCCACCATGGAAGCCGAGTACATAGCAGCCTCAGAGGCAGCGAAAGAGGCAGTATGGCTCAGGAACTTCTTAGTGGACTTAGAGGTTATACCGAGTTTGCCACGTGGTATCAACGTGTACTGTGATAACAGTGGAGCAGTAGCGAACTCAAAAGAACCTCGAGCCCACAGGGCAAGCAAACACATAGAGCGCAAATACCATCTGATTCGGGATATCGTTGGTAGAGGAGACGTTGATGTTGCCAAGATTGCATCGGAGGATGCATGGCGATAGGATCGACATAGGTCTTTTAGAATAACGGATTGATAGAACTATACTGTAAAAGCGAAAGTTTTAAGTATAAGTGGGAGATTGTTAGTGTTATATACTGAAAGCTTGGCTTTGCATGTTATTACACATTTACCCTTTATGAATGAGAATCATGTTAGATTAAACAAGTTCTACGTTCTGTTGTTCTGCACTTAGATAGGGTGGGTCGTCATCGGGCGAACCGAAGATCACTCTATCAGTCACTTGCGAACAAGAATAGTTGTTCACAACTTAGATGGACATGAACACCCCATCCAAACGGTTGTAGTGTCAACTGTACAGTTTGTCTTGACTGATTAATTGCACTAGTACATTTATGTATTGAACAGGATCCCATAGAGGAGAAGTTCATTTTATACTGATCGTCGTAAATGAACTAGGCCTCGGTTAATTACTGCGTTCTCTTAACCCGTAAGATATTAAACAAGCAGATATATATAATATATATTACTTTGATTCACATGGGTGAGGTTCAGTTCGCTGGATTAATATTACTGTTTTGGGTAATATTATTATATATAGGATGTGCTGTTAGGATATTTACGGTCACCATGTGTGTTAGTTTGATGATGTCCCCGGAGTGAGTTCATGAAGGATTGTTATGCTAAACCCTGCAGGTGGATTAAGTTCTGGCATAATAAGAATGTAATGAACGAGCGCTAGCTTCGGTGAAATAATAATAAATTAATTAATTCTTGATTGTCAGTAATCGAATTAATTAATGGACATTATATCTTAAACGTGGGGACGCAAATCGAGTAATTATTATTGGAGTCTCAAATGTAATTTGGGCTAGAGAAATGGAGTGCAATAATATAATGTTGGTTGCTCATTAATATTATTTAATTAATTAGAGGAGTGGGAGTCATTATCGAGCCCGAGAGCCGGCCTGAGACCCGCCCGCGCCTTCGGCCTTTTGAGCTCTTGTATTTTTTTTTCTTTCGGCCCTAATTGTATAGTCTCGGCCCAAACTTTGTATTCTGACCCAATAGGTTCTCTTGAGTCGATATTAACAGATGTTGAGCCCATCTTCTTCAACCTAAACGCTCCCGCAGCCTTTTTCTCGCAAAAATTTCATCGCCCAGCAGTCATCGATCTCTGTCTCTCGTTAACTCATCTTTTCTCTCTCGCAAAGCAACGCCGCAGCCTCTTCTGTCTCTTTCTCTCAATCTATCTCTCCCTCACCGTCAATTCGCTGCCCAGAATCCCAGCTGCAATTTTCCATCGCCGGGAAGCACATCGCCATCGCCGGAGGTGCGGCCTCAGTCCGATAGCCACATCAAGATTCCGTCTGTTCAGCATCTCCCTCAGACGACCCTCGAGCAGCAACCGCCCATGGCGAGCAGCAAGTCTCTGCAGTGAGTCGAGCCTATTGGAGAAGAGAACTTCATGTTGCTCGTTCACGTCGAAGCCACCATCTCAGCCGCGCAACTTCTTCAGCAGATCCCGTCCTCCGCCATACACGACCAGCAGCAGAATTCCCATCGTCTTGAGCGCCCTTGTTCGTAGAAACCAAGAAGCCATGGCAGTCGGGCCCGTTTGTCACACCCCGCCTCACTACTAGCTTTGAAAAAAATTAGAGTAAAATTTTTGTTTTTATTTTCGAAAGAACGTGCGAGCTGGGTTTTCGAAAATACTGACTTATTGCGGGATGTGGCAGATAAAAAAACTTAAATTTAAACTAAGCTTGCTCACAGACATAATAAAACATGCAACCAAACTGTCCGCTCGCGGATTACGGAATTATACATGCATAGTCTGTACTATCTCGCACTGTCTAGAAAAACTCGCTGGCGGAAGCATCCGAAATACGAATACATAAACGTGCATACATAACTGAATAATATACATGATCATAAAACTAGGACATAAAAATGCTGGTAAAATATGTCCGACTCTCATGACCACGCTGCGCCACATCTGTGCTTATCCGGCACACTCGACTCCGTCTCCTGAAAAACACAATGGGGGGCGTGAGCAAACCACTATGCTCCGCAAAGACCAGTACTGAACAAAACATCATCTATAATAACGTATCATGAAACATAAATATATAAGAGCTGAAACTGTAAACTGATCTCTGATTTCTGTTCTGATCTGTGGTCAAAAGACCCTCGGCCTTGGCCGCTCGTGTGCACACTCCGATGGGGTATAAAGGCCTTGGCCCCCCAAACGGTCATCAGGTGGGTATAAAGTGTTGGGATCTTTGAGGATCTCGTTATGTACAAATCACGAATTCAATAGCAAACGTAAACTTATGCGCAGCGGATCTAAAGGTTTGACGTAGGGAACTTACGGCTTAAAATTTATGTAGATCTGGGTGACCACAAACGGTTGACCGCAACTGATTGACCGCAAATCACGTCTTGGGTTGCACAAACAAGATCAGATCAAAACCGGATCAAACGGATGCAAACAGATCAAAACGAAATTGTGCAGCCTTGGAGCTTGCGGCGGCGCATGAGGGCGCGTGAGACATCGGATGCCGACAATCTCGGCGGCGATGGAAAGCTCTCGTCGAGGCGGTTGTCTGGGTATACTGTAATATATATTATATATATCTGCCTGTTTAATATCTTACGGGTTAAGAAAACGCAGTAATTAACCGAGGCCTAGTTCATTTACGACGATCAGTATAAAATGAACTTCTCCTCTTTGGGATCCTGTTCAATACATAAATGTACTAGTGCAACTAATCAGTCAAGACAAACTGTACAGTTAACACTACAACCATTCGGATGGGGTGTTCATGTCCATCTAAGTTGTGAACAACTATTCTTGTTTGCAAGTAACTGATAGAGTGATCTTCGGTTCGCCCGATGACGACCCATCCTATCTAAGTGCAGAACAACAGAATGTAGAACTTGTTTAATCTAACATGATTCTCATTCATAAAGGGTAAATGTGTAATAACATGCAAAGCCAAGCTTTCAGTATATAACACTAACAATCTCCCACTTATACTTAAAGCTTTCGCTTTTACAGTATAGTCCGATCAATCTGTTATTCTAAAAGACCTATGTCGATCCTATCGCCATGCATCCTCTGATGCAATCTTGGCAACATCAACGCCTCCTCTACCAACGATATCCCTTCGAATCAGATGGTATTTGCGCTCTATGTGTTTGCTTGCCCTGTGGGCTCGAGGTTCTTTTGAGTTCGCTACTGCTCCACTGTTATCACAGTACACTATGACACCACGTGGCAAACTCGGTATAACATCTAAGTCCGCTAAGAAGTTCCTGAGCCAAACTGCCTCTTTCGCTGCATCTGAGGCTGCTATGTACTCGGCTTCCATGGTGCAGTCTGCCACGCATTTCTGCTTAGCACTCCTCCATGAAATGGCTCCACTTCTCAAGGTAAACACATAACCTGAGGTTGACTTACTTTCATCCTTATCTGATTTGAAATCGGAATCACTGTAACCCAGAGGTAACAAGCTACCTGCACGGTAAACTAACATGTACTCCTTAGTCCTTCTCAGGTACTTGAGTATATGCATCACCGCAGACCAATGTTCTCGTCCTGGATTACTTTGATATCTAGCTACCAAGCCTACGGCGTAGCTAATATCCGGCCTAGTGCATAGCATTGCATACATGAGACTTCCTACTGCGAAGCATAAAGAAATGTCTTCATCTCCTCTATCTCCTTAGACGTCTTAGGGGACATCTCCTTAGATAGAGGTATTCCATGTCTGAAAGGTAACATACCTTTCTTGGAATCCTGCATGCTCAATATGGCCAAGATAGTATCTTTGCATGAAGACTGGGATAAGCACAACATTCTCTTCTTACGGTCTCTAATGAGCCTAATACCAAGAATGTGTCCTGCTTCACCTAAGTCCTTCATATCAAACTGCTTAGACAACCACACCTTTACGTCTGACAACTCCTTACTGTTTCCAATAAGCAGTATGTCATCTACGTAAAGCACAAAAAACACCACCACGCTCCCACTGATTTTCTTGTAAACACAGTGCTCATCCGGACATTGAGTGAGCCCGTACGACTGGATCACCTCATCAAAATGGATGTTCCAAGATTTCGAAGCTTGTTTCAGTCCATAAATAGACCGATTAAGCTTACACACTAGATGCTCACGACCTTCAGCAATGAATCCCTCTGGTTGGTGCATATAGATGTCTTTCTGCAGGTTCCCATTAAGGAAAGTTGTCTTGACATCCATCTGCCAGACCTCATAGTCCATATGAGCGGCTACAGCCAAGAGAATCCGAATGGACTTAAGCATAGCTACTGGTGAAAAGGTCTCATCATAATCAATACCCTCGATCTGGGTATAACCTTTGGCAACAAGCCTAGCTTTAAAGGTTTGCACCTTCCAATCCAATCCTCTCTTTCTCTTATAGATCCACTTACATCCAATGGGTCGTACCCCATCGGGTGGTTCTACAAGACCCCAGACCTGATTGGAGTCCATTGACCCCATTTCAGCTTTCATTGCAACATTCCATGAATATGCATCTTTATTTTGGAGTGCCTTATCGTAAGTTCTTGGTCCGATTCTAGGCCTTCTGGAACTGAGTCTGATGACTCTCCAAGACCTATCCATCGGTCGGGTAAATGAGAAACCCTCCCACTGCGACGAGGCACTGTCAGTACCGGTACACTCTCAGTGTGCCGTGTTGCAGTATTATGTGATGTATCTACTTGCGCACTCGGTGGGGAACCATCGATTTCACCTCTTAATTCCTCTAAGACTAGTCTACTCGCGGGCTTATGATTTATAATATAGTCTTCTTCCAAGAATCTAGCGTTCGTCGAAACGATCACCTTCTGATCCCCGAGACTATAAAATAATCCACCTTTCGTTTCCTTGGAATAGCCTACAAAAACTCGTGCTTCCGAATGTTTTTCCAATTTGCCAGGTTCCTGCACTAAAACGTGTGCAGGACTACCCCATACCGGAATATGTGAAAAGCTTGGCCTACGCCCTTTCCACAATTCGTAAGGAGTAGTATCAACTGACTTCGATGGAACCAAGTTCAGAATGTACGATGCTGTTTCCAGCGCCATTCCCCAAAACAAATCTGGTAACCTCGAATAACTCATCATAGATCTAACTATCTCCATAAGAGTCTTATTTCTTCGCTCTGCAACCCCGTTCTACTGGGGCGTGCCGGGTGCAGTCAGTTGGGATCCAATCCCAGCTTCCGATAAGTATGTCCTGAACTCTCCAAAGAGGTATTCGCCACCTCGATTAGAACGAAGTGACTTGATACATTTACCATGAAGCTTCTCCACAACTCCCTGATACTCCTTGAATTTCTCAAAGTATTCGGACTTGCGGTGCAACAGATAAACGTACCCAAATCTCGAGTAATCATCTATGAAAGACACATAGTACTCGAAACCTCCTCTAACCTGGATCGACATAGGACCACACAAATCAGAATGAATCAATCCTAGCACTTCTTGGCTTCTATACCCCCTTGCCGTAAATGGCCTCTTGGCCATCTTACCTTCCAGACAGGATTCGCAAGTTGGATAGTGCTCTTCCAATGGACCGAGATGTCCACTGGCCACTAACTTTTGAATCCTCCTAAGGTTGATGTGCCCAAGTCTAAGGTACCACAGATATGCTTGATTCATCTGCGAAGACTCCTTCCGCTTATTAGATGTAGTTATGACATTATTCAATTCATTATGTTGCACTGTGGGAGAGTTCGGTTTGAGAACATATAAATTGCCAACTAATGAACCTCAACATATGAAACGATTTTCAAAACGAATAATAACCATGTCATCAAACGAAACTGAAAAACCATCCATAACGAGTTTAGAAACTGAAACAAGGTTCTTTCTAAAGCAAGGAACATAAAGGCAAATTCTCAAAACCAAACTACTACTATCAAACGATAAAGTAACGTCTCCCACTGCAACAGCCGCCACTTTTGTAGCATTGTCCATGTAGACGGTGATCTCTCCCTCCCTAAGTCGCTTGGTTTCCTGGAACCCCTGCAAAGGATTGCAGACATGATCAGTGGCTCCAGTATCTACACACCAGGTTCTGGTAGATGCAACCGCTAAACATGGTTCTACGACATTAACGAGAGAGTTACCTTTCTTGAGGAGAGGGCAATCGATCTTCCTGTGTCCTGACTTATTGCACTTGTGGCATCTTCCTTTCGGTTTCTTTGCCACAGTCTGAGGGGTCGGTCGTGTGTAAACCGGAGCATCCTGTGCCTTCGCCTTTCCTGCAGACTTCTTTCTCTTCCTGCCCTTGTGAGGCCTGGAAGGTCCAGCCTGCTCGGCGACTAGCACCTGAGGTGCCTGAGTGAATAAGGCCTCTGCCGACTGAAGCTCTACAAGCAGTTCTGGAAGAGCCATATGCATCTTGTGCATGTTGTAGTTCAACCGGAACTGATCAAAGCTCTTCGGCAGAGATTGGAGCATAATATCAACCTGGGTTTCCCCGTCAATATAACCTCCCAAAACCTTAAGCTCATTGAGCTGCGCCATAATC